TATTGGGGGCCATTGTGGCAGACAGAATCGTGATCCTCCCACCAATATATCACGTCCTAATCCTTGGAACCCGTGAATATTACGTTATATGGCAAAGTCTTTGCAGACATGATTAAGTAAAGGGTCTTGAGATAGGGAAATTATTCTGGACGTTCTAAGTGAATGACATTCCTAAATATATCACAAGTGTCCTTATAATAGAATAAGGGCCTAGCATCCAGGATATAAAAAGAACTTTTGCAACTCAACGATAAAAAGACAAATAACTCAAAAGAAAAAGAAATGGACAAAGGTAATTAACAGACATTTCCCTCTTTTTAAAATTTTTATTTATTTATTTAAAGACAGGGTTTCACCATGTTGGTCAGGCTGGTCTTGAACTCCCAACCTCAGGTGATCCTCCCACCTTGACCTCCAAAGTGCTTGGATTACAGGTGTGAGTCACTGTGCCCGGCCAACAGACATTTCTCTAAGGAAGATATATAAATGGCCAATAAGCACTTAAAAAGATGCACAATATCATTAATCATCCGGGAAGTGCAAATGAACACACAAGTCCAATTTACACTTACCAGAACAGCTAGAATGAAAAAGCCAGCTAATAAGAAGTATTGGTGAGGATGTGGTGAAATTGGAATCCTCCACACACTATTGGTGGGAATGTAAAATGATGCAGTCACTTTGGAAAACAGTCTGAGGATTTCTCAAATGATTAAATGTACATCTATTATATGATAGAGAAATCCATTCCCAAGTATATACCTAAGATAAATGAAAACACATGTCCATACTGAAGCTTACATAGAAATATTTATAGCAACATCATTCATAATAGCCCGGAGTGGAAATAGCCCAAATGCCCATTAACTGATGAATGAATAAATATAATGTACATACAATAGACTGTTATTTGTTCATAAAAAATGAAGTATATATACATGCTACAATGTATAAGAACCTTGAAAACTGAAAGAAGCCCTTCACAAAAGACCATATATTATGTGATTCAATTCATAAAAAATGTCCAGAAAGGAGAAACCTATAGGACAGAAAGTGGATTCGTGGTTGTCTAGGGCTGGTGGGGAGAGGGAGGTTATGAGTCTAGGCTATGATAGCTAAAGTGAATGGGATTTTGTTTTTGATGTGATAAAAATATTCCTAAATTGACCACGGTGATGCTTGCACATATCTGTAAATACACTAAAAATCGTTGAAGTGTACACTTTATGTAGATTAATTATAAAGTATGTGAACTATATCTCAATAAAACTGCTAAGCAAAGGATAAGAGTGGTGATGTCCAAGCTTTTTATATGTAGGAGCCAAAATCAGAAGTGATCCATTATGACATGGTGTGAATTACTCTTTAGTTAATAAAAATAGTTTTGTAGATGAATATTTATTTATACTGAATGATGTTTATGATAACTTGTTAAGCAAAATAATCTGTAAAACAATATGTATGTTTCTATTTTTAAAAATATATATTTCTTTTATTTTTTAAATTGCATTTTAGGTTTTGGGGTCAAAAATATATTTCTATACAAAGGCTCTTCAATTTATGATGGGGTTATGTCCTGATAAACCTATCATAAGTTGAAAATATAGTAAGTCAAAAATGTATTTAATACAACTAATCTACCGAATATCATGGCTCAGCCTGTCCTACCTTAAATGTGCTCAGAATACTTACATTAGCCTACAGTTGGGCAAAATCATCTAACACGAAGCCTATTTTATGATAAAGTATTGACTCTCTCATGCAATGTATTGGATACTGTGCTGAGAGTGAAAACGGAATGTTTGCATGGGTACTCGAAGTGCAGTGTCTGGTAAATGCATGCTGCTTTCACAGCATTGTAAAGTTTACTTTTTTTTTTTTAAAGATGGGGTTTCACCATGTTGGTCAGGCTGATCTTGAACTCCCGACCTCAGGTGATCCACCTGCCTTGGCCTCCAAAGTGCTTGTATTACAGGCGTGAGCCACCACACCTGGCCTGTAAAGTTTAAAAATTATAAGTTGAACCATCGTAAGGTGAGGACCACCTGTATATAGAAAAAAACATGTGAAGATAGTTGTTAAAAGTGGTTATTGGTCAGAGGTTGTGGCTCACTTTGGGAGGCAGCGGTGGGAGGGTCACTTGGGTCCAAGAGTTCAAGATCAGCCTTGGCAACATAGTGAGATCTTGTTTCTACTAAAAATAAAAAATTGAAATTAAAAAAAGAACATTAGTCAAGCATGGTGACATGTACCTGTGGTCTGAGCTACTTGGGAGGCTGACGTGGGAGGCACCCTTGAACCTGGAAGGTTGTGGTTGCAGTGAGCTGTGGTTGTGCCACTACACAACCTATGGAACACAGTGAGATGCTGTCTCAAAAGCAACCCCCCTAAAATATAACAAAAACAGACGGCAAAAACAAAGGTTATCCTTGTTGGTGATATTTTGGATATTTTAATTTTTCTCTTTCTGCATATTCATACTGTCTCTAGTGAATTGATCTACTTCATATTTTGAAAAATGTTTAAAAATTATTTTGCACCTCGTATAACACAATTAAAATCCTAAAGAATGTGGCTTCAGCACTTTATTTTGAAAAATTCCTTAAGTAGTTTTAAACAAGCCTCTGCCCTTTCATAAATAAATAATTCTGGGCCGGGCATGGTGGATCAAGCCTGTAATCTCAGCACTTTGGGAGGCTGAGGTGGGCAGATCACCTGAGGTCAGAGGTTCAGGACCAGCCTGGTCAACATGACAAACCCTCATCTCTACTAAAAAATAGAAAAATTAGCTGGGCATGGTGGCACATGCCTGTAGTCCCAGCTACTCGCATGTACTAGAAAAATTAGCTGGGCATGGGAGGCTGAGGCAAGAGAATCCCTTGAACCCAGGAGTCAGAGGTTGCAGTGAGCCAAGATGATGCCACTGCACTCCAGCCTCCAGCCTGGGCAACAGAGTGAGAGTCCATCTCAAAAAAAAAGGAATTCCAGTGAAAGAGTTATCAAATCCTTATCTTTGAGCAATATAATCTAGCATGCTCTAGCATGCCTTCCAAGATTAACTGGCTGGAAAACGTATACTCTGGTAAATGGACAGCGTAATTTACACAACAGGACACAATAAGATTTAAAAGTCATTTAATGTTGGCTGGGCACAATGGCTTACACCTGTAATCCCAGCACTTTGGGAGGCTGAGGTGGGTGGATCACAAGGTCAAGAGATCAAGACTATCCTGGTCGAGATGGTGACCTCGTCTCTACTAAAATAATAATAATAACAAAAAAATTAGCTGGGCATGACAGCGCGTGCCTATAGTCCCAGCTACTTGGGAGGCTGAGGCAGGAGAATCACTTGAACCTGGGAGGTGGAGGTTGCAGTGAGCTGAGATGGCGCCACTGCAATTCAGCCTGGTGATAGAGCAAGACTCCATCTCAAAAAAAAAAAAAAAAAATTAAATATTAAGCAATATTTATGAAAAGCACAACATTGACTTTGAAATAGTTTAGCCAAAAGCTTTGTTTTTAATAACAATTAGATTTTTTTTAAAAAAGGTCACTCCTAGATTGAGACATTGAAACCTTTTTGCTCTTGTATATTTATTATATTTGTGTATCTTTTATCTTTTCTAAGTGAGTGTTTGGTGCTAGAGTGGAGGAAGAAATACATTAGTTTATCCAAAAATGCTATTAAACCTTCGAAGGACATTCAAAGGAGAAAAAAAAATACTATCGATTCTGGTATCTGTGAGGAGTATGTGGTAGAAATATATATATACATTATATATATTTATATATAATAGTTCTATTTACAAATCTCTTAAACATCATTTCATTCATATTCAGATATACTAGAGTATGTCTAGATTTTTTGAAATTACCACTCATGTCATCAATTTTTTTTTACTACTTATTCTAATCACAGGAACATATATTTTGTTTGTTTGGGTATTTTTTGTTTTGAGACAGAGTTTCACTCTTGTTACGCAGGCTGGAGTGCAATGGCACGATCTCAGCTCACTGCAACCTCCACCTCCTGGGTTCAAGCAATTCTCCTGCCTCAGCCTCCCGAGTAGCTGGGATTACAGGCATGAGTCACCACACTGGGCTAATTTTTGTATTTTTAGTAGAGACGGTGTTTCACCATGTTGGCCAGGCTGGTCTTGAATGCGGATATCAGGTGATCTGCCCATCTTGGCCTCCCAAAGTGCTGGGATTACAGGCGTGAGCCACCGCACTCGGCCAGCACTATCTTTTTAAATCCACACATAAGGTAATGAAGTAGGAAATCAAGGCTCAGAGAGTTTACACATGTTGTTTAACGCCGCCAAATACGTAGTAAGTGACAGAGTCAGATTTAAACCAGGAACATCCATTTCCCAAATCTCAGGTTTTTCTGTAACACCCCAAAGCATAAAAGGGTATCTTTCTGATAACACCGTCGCCCTGGCTGATTTATGGGTACAGCGCCTGCACTAATGCTGAACATTTCATTAAGAACTTGAATGCTAGAGCCTGGTCTGGGTTTGTGGTACTTACTACATTTGTCATCTTGGACAAGTCACTTAGGTAGACTCCAGGTTCCTCCTCTGGAAATAGGGTAGCAGTATTAGTGACCTCTTAAGGTTGTTGTGAAGAGCAGATGTAATTACTATACATAAAGCCTTGGTACTATTAAATACTTTTTAGCTCTTATTATGTTGACGAGAAAATGGTCCTGTTGAATCTGTAAAATAAGGTCACACCCCTGTGGTTATGCTGTGGTGTCTCTTAAAGGGAAAAGGAATAGTAATTCATAACTATTCTGGGAAGTAGAATATCCTGGGCAGGAAGTGAGGCCTTGGAGGTAGACTGTAGATGGGAAAGTTGCATTCTTTTCTTTGGGCATCTCTTTCAGCCATGGACTCTGGGCATCTGGCTGTCATAAGGGCATTCCTGAGAAACAATGGCTCTTGCCTCATAGAGGCAAGCTGTGTCCCAAGCAAAGACACTCACCAGCATGGGGCAGTCATGCTGGGGGGCCCCAGGACGGGGGTCTTGTGCTGCTGGGTGCAGAGAGCAGCCACATCCTGTGGGCCATTGTACATTGCATTTTAACTTAGCATTGTGTTTCTTCTGGTAGTCTCAGGACCTTAATCAGAACTGATCTACGATTTCAGTCTAGTCTCAGCTCTGTTACGTGAGATTAAGGAACGTGTCTGTGTTCATCCTGAGGCTGCAGTGGGAAAGGGTGAGAGCAAATACAGTGGAAAGTCAGCAAAATTCTGAAGGAACAGGTGAGTCAGAAATTACTGTGACTGTGTCCTGTTGCCCCTCTGTTTGTTCATGGATTTTCCCTTTATTGCTTAACTTGGAGGAAATCTGTAGGTTTTCTCACACACATTACACTGTGAAAATTTGATACTGTATGGATTTTTTACTAACACCTGTAGCAGTTAATTTTAAGCACAACTGAACAGGACAAGATGGGTAATAGAACACCCTGCTTTCACTTCCAAATAGCTAATGAAAATATAAATTTTAACATTAAAACATATTTTATTAAAATTGTTGAGGTTAAAAATATTGGTTTAATAGTTTCAATTGTTATATATACAAAATTCTCTTCTGCATATATTTGAACTTTATTGAAACTGGTAGCCATATATGTAAGGCTGGTTTTCAAGCACAAGTTGGTTTATGCTACTGACAGATACTACTAAAGTGAATCTATGAGCTCTGTTTCATTCTATCCATTCACTCATTCACTTCTTCAGCAAATCCCTCCAGTTATAAACCAGGGATTGTTGTGTAGGGGATGTAAAGCTGAACCCTGTCCTGTGGAAGACATACTCATAATGGGGAGGGTGAACATGTAAGTAAAAGGAATCACAGTGTGGAAGTGCTAAAATGGGGCACCATAACACTTTAAGGCATTAAGAGTTCTAATTCTCTAGAATAAATACAAGACTCCAAACATTTAGATTCCTTCAAATAGGAGCTGGTTAGATATTGGGCATTCTCCAAGAGACAAGGGTCCAATATTACAACCCTTAGGGATGATCCTAATATTATCTCCATTTGATTTATGATGAAGCTGAGGTGTAGAGAAGCTAATTTGTACATGATCACACAACTAGTGAGCAGCAAAACCTGGATTTTAATCCACTTGTATTTGATTCCAGAGCCCAGACTCTTGACCACTGTGCTGGACTAAATGACTGACATTACCAACCAAGTTGTGTACGGTGTGGCTGTGTTATTCGGAAGAAAGATCATTCATTTTGTGCCTCATTTGTAAATTTATCCCTTATTATAGGACTGTACTGAGAAGCAACTACTGCAGATCTCTGTAAAATTGTAATCTCAGATGGCATTAATGATAAGATTAAGTGTAAAATCGGTTAAGTGCTTTAGGAGTATCAGGCATAGTAGGCTGTTGAAGATGGTTCCACTGACCACACTTCTTGATAACTAGGCCATTCTGTGATTTCCTCCTCTAGAGTATGGGCTAGTGCTAGTAACTCACTTCTAATAAATGGAATATAGCAGAGTGACTCTTGATACAAATAAACAATTGAATAAATAAATTAGGGATAGAGAAAGGTCTTCCTGGAAAGGGAATTCATACTAAAAAGTTTAAAAGAAAAGTGAGAAATAGAGAATCACTATTAGACAAATACTGTAGTAGTAATGTTGCAAACCATATCCACTTACAGAGGCTAAATTTGGTGGCCAAAAGTTTAAGGAAAAATAGTCTTTGCTTGTTGTCAAGTTATCTCTTCCAAGACATATGTCTGCTTTAGAGAGGGAGTGTAATCCTGCAGTAGAGAAACTCAGAACACACGAACTTAACCAAGTGCTCACGGTAAACATAGCCAGTAATGACACATGCTGGCAACGTGACACACTTGATATGATACGCCAAGAGGGACACAACATAATTTTTTGTAGTGTTCTGGCCAGAAATGCCCAATCTCATTCTAATAATGAAAAAACATTAGTCAACCCCAAACTGAATGACATTCTACAAAGCAACTGACCAGTATTTGTCAAAAGTGTCAGGGTTATTAAAGACAAAAGAAAAAAAAAAAAAAAAAGCCAGAGGAACTCTTACAGGATAGAGAAGCCCAAGGATGAACAAATAGCAAGTGCAGAGCTTTTTATTCATCCTGGAACTTGGGTAGGATCCTGGAACAGAAAATGACAATAGTGGAGAAATTGGTGACAGTCTCTCTAAAGTCTGTAGTTTAGTAAATAACACCGTGTCAAGGAACTCTGTGAAATTTTTATGACTTTTCTGTAAGTCTAAAATTAGTTCAAAATACAGAGTTAAAATGTTATGCTTGATAATAAATAAAATCCAACTATGTAGTCTTTACAAGAAATATATCTAAAACTTAAATAAATAGAAAGTTTGAATGTAAAAGGATGAAAAACTGTATGCAACTCAAATAGTAATAAAAAGAAAGCTTAGATGGATATAGATAGATTTTTGAGGTTAGAAGCATTACTAGGGGTACATGGAATTACTTCATGAGGCTAAAAGGTTCACTTCACCAGAAAGACATACATGTGTATGCTTTCAAAATTTTTAAGGGAAGAGTAACAAACTGCAAGGAGGAATAGATGAATTAAGAATCATAATGAGATTTAAAATTACCTCTCTTTGTAATTTCTAGATTAATTAAAAAACAAAAAACAGTAAGGATCTAGAACTACTTGAACTAAACAATTAACAAATACAGGACACAGCACCTAACATCTACAGAATACTTATATATTTCAAGCATAAGAAACATTTACAAATATTGACCACAGAATGACTATCAGGCAAACCCCCAAAATAACAAAGGATTGAAAGAACACAAGTGTATTCTTCTCCTACAGTGCAGTTATGCTAGAAATAAACAACGGAAGACCAAAAAAAAAAAAAAAAAAACTTTAGAGGTTTATAAATTTAAAATATTATTTTAAAGAACTCGTGAGTAAAAGAAGAATTCAGAATATAAACTAGAAAGCATTTTAAATGGAATGATAAAAACACTACATATCAAAATTTGTATAGCAAAATCAGAACTTACAGTACTTTTCCTTAAAGGAACAGAAGAACGAAGCTAAATATTCATTTAAGAAGTTAGTGAAAGAATAGCACAATATAGACAAAGAACATAGAAATAAGAAAATAATACAGATAAAAGCAGACATTAGTCATTTAGAAAACAAATATAATAGGAAGTGCATCAACACAGCTGGTAATTAGATCTTTGGAAAGATTAATAAAATTGACAAACTCCTGACACTACTAAGAAAGAAAAAAGAGAATAGACCAAGAGCTATTTTTTTTTTTTTTTTTTTTTTTTGAGACGGAGTTTCGGCTGTTGTTACCCAGACTGGAGTGCAATGGCACGATCTCTGCTCACGACAACCTCCGCCTCCTGGGTTCAAGCAATTCTCATGCCTCAGCCTCCCGAGTAGCTGGGACTACAGGTGTGCGCCACCATGCTCAGCTAATTTTTGTATTTTTAGTAGAGATGGGGTTTCACCTTGTTGACCAGGATGGTCTCGATCTCTTGACCTCGTGATCCACCCGCCTCGGCCTCCCAAAGTGCTGGGATTACAGGCATGAGCCACCACGCCCGGCCGAGGCCAGGGGTTTAAAGCCAGCCTAGGCAACACAGCAAACCGTGTGTCTACAAAAATATTAATAATTTCAAAAATAAGCCAGGCTTGTGACACATACCTGTAGTCCTAGCTATTTGGGGGGCCAAGGTAGGAGGATTGCTTGGGCCCAGGAGGTCAAGGTTGCAGTGAGCAGTGATCACACCACCTAACTCCAGTCTGGATGACAGAGCCAGACCCCACCCCTAAAAATAAATACATACATCCATAAAATAAAAATGAAGTAAAATATTGAATTAAATATTTTCACAAAGAAAAACACAGATCTTGACAGTAAGTTCTAGCAAACATTTATGTTAGAAATAATTCTAAAGCAAACTCTTCCAGTGTATAGAGAAAGAAGACATTCTCTCCAACCCGAGACTGCCATAACTTTGACACCAAAACCCCATAACAACAGTACAAGGAAAGAAAGAAAATACATGCCAATTAGATACATCTACAAAAATTGTATTAAAAGTTTAGGAAAATAATCCATATGTATCCACGTACAAAAATGATGACATATAGCCAATTTGAACTTTTTTTGTAAATGAATAATTGGTTTAACATTTTATCAATTTATAACATTTATTATTTTTGCCACATGGACAAAGTAAGGGAGAAAAAATAAAAACAATGCAGTACATGCCAAAGTGTTTGATAAAATTCAACATCTAGCCATAATTAAACAAAAACTTCTAAGAAACTAGAAATATAAGGGGACTTTCTGTCTATTTTTTTTTTTTTTTTTTTTTTTTTTTTTTTTTTTTTGAGACGGAGTTTCGCTCTTGTTACCCAGGCTGGAGTGCAATGGCGCGATCTCGGCTCACCGCAACCTCCGCCTCCTGGGTTCAGGCAATTCTCCTGCCTCAGCCTCCTGAGTAGCTGGGATTACAGGCACGCGCCACCATGCACAGCTAATTTTTTGTCTTTTGAGTAGAGACGGGGTTTCACCATGTTGACCAGGATGGTCTCGATCTTTTGACCTTGTGATCCACCCGCCTCGGCCTCCCAAAGTGCTGGGATTACAGGCTTGAGCCACAGCACCTGGCCTATAAGGGGACTTTCTTAATCTCATAAATGGCATCTCATAAGAGAAACTATAGCAACCATCGTATCTAATGATTAAATGTTATACAGCCACATTAGGTTCAAGGAGAGAAGGATGTCCATCATTACTGCTGTTTTTCACAGCAAATTGTACTGGACGTTCTTGCTAGTTTACTAAGGCAAGAAATAAAAGGGGATAAAAAAGTAGAAATTAATTTATCAGTATTTACCAGTAGTATGATAGTGTATGTAGAAAAAAGGTAAATTTCTAGAATTAGAGATTACTAGAAAAATTCTTACTAGTAAAATTGAAGACATGCATCCCCTGAGTCCTAGCATTTCTACTTTATAATCTACCCTTCAGAATTGTAAGGTAACAAGCACCAAAATACATGTATGAACATGTTCACAACAGCATTATTAATAATATCTTAAAATTGGAAGCACCGCTGGGCATGGTGGCTCACCCCTGTAATCCCAGCACTTTGGGAGTCTGAGGCGGGTGGATCACAAGGTCAAGAGATCGAGACCATCCTGGTCAACATGGTGAAACCCCATCTCTACTAAAAATACAAAAAAAAAT